TCATCTTATCAGACTGCATAGGATTTGGGATGAGTTTTTCAACAGCCGCCTGCCTGACATCAACCCTCCTTCGGCTATATCTCCAAATGTCGATTAGAAGTTGCCATAGGGAGGGACTTTTCTGAAAACAGCAATATCCATCAAACTTTAATTTTCATTTTCAATATATATATTTTGTTACACTTTAACTGTTCTTAATATAACGAAATTAGAAACACTAGCAATGATAATCCAACAATTTACGAAGTAACAAAATTATAAATAATGTCAGTATGTTTCATCTGTGAATTTCTAGGCCATGCTCCATAAATTTTCCGGTACACGTCTGTTTCTTCTCGTTAATTTCTTACAGGTTTGTTATTCTTGAATGGGCACATTAAGGATAGACAAAATAAATTCCTCTGAACAATCTATGTTGGTTCGTGCCTTAGGGCAGTCTTAAGCTCAATCCTACGTTCTTCTTAATCTGCCATGTTTTCTTTAGAGCGTGTATTAATTTAGTTGTTTCAAGTTCACATTGCTAAATGGTCGTACTAGTGATAGATAAATTAATTTTATACGTATAGGTGAGTCGTGGTCGGTTTTTGCCTCCGGGCAATGGCGGCGTGAGAACCATACTGCGCTCGCGCCTAGCCTCTGACGCCGATTGGCCACGATGTATGTCGTGTTCTGTTCTGGACACGTGTCATGTTTTGATCCGGCACGTTACGGCCCGTGTGTGCTTTGTAGAAATTGTTCTTGAGTTTTGACAAGATTAACTTGAACTATCCGTCCGACGCAACAATGCTCTCGGTGAGAGGTTATTTTAGAATAATATGAATCAATATGTTCAAGTTGAAAATATTGTTGTGGGCATTTTTGTTTTTTTAGTTTAGAATATTCTTTTGGTACAATTTGAAGAGTAGTTGTGGAATGGTTTTTTTTATTTGTTTTAATTGCTTTCATAGGAAAATAGATAAATCGATGTTTTGATTAGGACTATATCAAGAAGGATGTATGATAGCGCGTAGGTATGTATATGCGAGTTATTTGAACCAGATAGTATGTAGCAAAAATAGCATAATGGTTCTAGGTAATTAAAGTAAAAGTAGTCCATGAGCGACGGTGACCACTTACCATCGGGTGGGCCGTATGCTCGTCTGCCTACAAAGGCAATAAAAAAAAAAAGTAAGGAGTAATAATGATGAAATCATATGAAAAAAATATTTAGAGCATTGCGCCTGGAATACACGAAGAACAGAGAGAATATAATTTTTCATCAGAAATTACTTTTCAATTGTAATGCATGTTTGGAGTTGGAATTCGTTATACCAATGGATCGGATTTTTATTTATAGGATGGAAATGTCCTCGCTCGAAGACCTTTCCAGTTACAGCAGAATGGGTGGGGGAGTACAGGGTCCAACCAGGATGGGTGGGATTAGCTGAAGGCCGCCCGAGCGCCTCCGAAGGAGACCTGACAACTCAAGGGTGTCTGCTTCACGTCATCGTTCAGAAAGTGTATTGTATAGATTTTTCTTTGTACTTGTAGGTACATATCGCCTTTTCGCATTGTACAATTTCCAAAAATATTCGAAATTAATATCTTTCTCGTAAATACTGTCAAAAGAGCGTAGTTTAGTTTTAGTTTTTATCTTTATTACTTTAGTTTACGTATGTTTTGACTGCTATTGCTTCGACAAAATGAATACGTGATTTTATCTTACTTTCCAAGACAGAGCTGGTAAAAAATAAAAAATAAATGTTGCAAAGATGATTAATATTAAAAATATTACATGTAAAATCTTTAAACCTTTAAAACACTCTCCTGTAAAATTAGTAAGTTTTGAGATTATACAGTTTTAATGCGAGAAGACGATATATGTATGTACATGCAAACTTATCTTGGTAGTGTCATTGGTGCGATTCGTGTATCACAAATATCTTCTGCTCTATGACAGTTACCGCTACCCAAATACAGATCAGTTGGAACGCAAACAGGCAATTTTTCATTGGTTTTATTGCTTTATTTATCTCGGTTTCATCATCGTAGGCGACATAAAATTCTTAGCGTTTTATTTTTCAATTACAATCGTGGGCTTTTAAATCTTAAAAATTTAGAGAATGTAGTACCTACAATAGCTTTTTATTTTAGTTTTATTTCTTAAATGGGTGGACGAGCTCACAGCCCACCTGGTGTTAAGTGGTTACTGGAGCCCATAGACATTTACGACGTAAATGCGCCACCCACCTTGAGCTATAAGTTCTAAGGTCTCAAGTATAGTTATAAAGGCTGCCCCACCCTTCAAAACCGAAACATAAACAGCACGGCAAAACTAGGCGGGGTGGTGGTGGTTGCTCGCTCCGGGCATTTCAATATCGTAGTAATTGTTACGTTATAATACTCATTGTAAAAAATTCATATTTAAAAAAATTATAATCTAATATTAAAAAATAAATAAATAATAATTTCAATTTCATATTTAAAAAAAAAAAAAAAAAAGACATGCCCGCTGAGTTTCTTGCCAATTCTTCTCAGGACGGAGGCTAGTTCTTGTGAATTGGCGGTAGTTCTCTTGACGTTCAACAAGTATGTACTTTCATTTATGTTGAATAATATTTTTTTGATTTCATTTGATTTGATTACCCGTGCGGACTCACAATAAGTCCTACCACCTGTAAAAGCAGTAATTACTGCAGTAATTTACTGGTAAGTACCGCGTAAGATAATTACTGCTTTAATCAAAGTAGTAATTAACGAAAATTTTAAAATCACATTTCGGTCTTGTTGTTTTTTTAAATACCCCTTCAAGCTTACACGCTGCAATATCGTATACAGCATTATGATTATATTGCATTTCACTTGCACAACGATTGTCGGAACAAACGCGATTTACTTGTTTCTCCTGTCAATTGCGGCAATTATTACGCTCTATTGGAGCATTGCAAGAGCTTTTGTTCGTGCACTTTTGTTTGTGCTTATTGTCCGTAACCGAGCTAACGAATAGAACACTGTCTAATGAAGTATTAAGTGTGAGAGTTCTAGTCTTTACTGCGCAATACCAAGTCAACGCAAGCACAAATGTATTATAACTATTTTTATAGAAGTAGAAGGTCAGAAGGTGTAGAAAAGAAGTTCCCATACAGGTAGGTGTTGGAACTTTACGATGGCCAGCCCACTGAGTTTCTCGCCGGATCGTCTCAGTGGGTCGCGTTTCCGATCCGGTGGTAGATTCTGCGAAGCACTGCTCTTGCTAGGGTCAGTGTTAGCAACTCTCCGGTTGAACCCCGCGAGCTCACCTACAATCGTTAGGGCGAAGCTGAAATAGCCTCTCAAGGCTATCAGCAAAGGTAGGAAAAAAAAAACGATGGGTATTAAGTGCATATGCTTTGACTCTTACCCGAAAAACGTGTTTTGGTTGTTGTGCTTTTTGTGCTTTGTTTGAACAATGACGTCATTGTAGTCATAATTTGAGTGCCTCGACGGTCAAGTGATTAGTAATCTTGACTACTTAAATATAACAGTATCCGGGCTCGATTTATGTAATATCTTAAATTGCTTAGACGGGTGAACGAGCTCGCGGCCCAACTGGTGTTAAGTGGTTGCCGGAGCCCTTAGACTTAACAAAGTGAATGTCTTAACTGAAAACATGAGTCTAAGTCTCAATTGAATTAAATAACCCTTCGATTAGACCACGCAGAAATAGGCAGGAGTGTTAACATGTTGACAGACACGATGACAATGTGTCCACGGCATACTATCCCCTAGCGCGGCACCAATATATCAAGAATCGTCCAAAAATCGTTGAGGTGTTATTTCGCAAATATTGTCGAGATAATAATATATACCTAATGGGTGACTAGTGGAAACAGTGACATTATTTTCCGAAAGATGTGTGGCAAACATATAGTGTCCGTCTAGGCCCCTTAGACCCGACTTACTGGCAGTTTAAGGATATCCGCCGCGACCAAGTGGGCCAAAGATTGTCTAGGTTTTAGTCTCGCATTCAACGTGTTAAACATACTAATGTGAGCTCAGAATATCCACGTCTTAACAGCTCACGATAAGAAACCCAAAGTAAACAACCAAAATTGTAAAAATAGTTTTTTTTTTAAATTATTCCTGGACAAGATTCATTCAGACGAACATTAACGATCCTCGTCAGTTGCAATCGTTTTATTAATCGTAATTTAAATTACTAAGATATTTATCGAACTAAAACATTTGAAGATTTCGAACTGCATCTCCGATTATAGTTACATGGTTTTTTAAAATTTTACTTTCCGAATTAATGAATGAACATTAATAAAAACTAGTGACGTTTATGATAGCGAGCCCAACAGAAACGTTATAGGTAGCCGACTAATGAGCTAATTAACTTCAAATCTAATTTTAAAACACCAGTGAAATACGAGTCATGCTATGACTTTAAATTTCCAGAGAAACATTTATTTTTAGCTTCCAAAACACGTTTATCTATTACGAAAAATCGTAAACAATAGTCGTAGGTAAACTAGAATTTCATTTCGATTTCTTCACACCAATATAACGATAAAAGCGTTTGAAACAGTTATATGTATATGCAAAAACAATAGTCAATCTTGTTTGTGTTATAAATGGTTATAATAAGTTGCATAAAATAAATTATTATTGTGTCCTTGAATAATAAAAGAGATTGCCAGAATTTTCCCTAACGATTCAAGGTGAAACACGCTCATTTCTGAAAATGATGCGCGCGGGACCCGCTGATTATAAAGCATACCAAACCAATCGGATACATTGTTTTCCCATAGCCTGGCCGTTCCAATTCAGAATCTCATTACACTTGAAAGGGGATACTAACAAATCTGGCGCAGCGTTCTCATGGACGTGTTTGTCGTTAGGGCAGCGTGAGGTGACCATTACTGTACAAAGAGTTGCCTAAAATAGAGAGCTTTGTGAGGCGGGAAGACAGGCGAGGAGCGAGGTGGGGGCGGGGCGGACGCCGGCTGCCTGCCGGCTCAGTCGCGTCGTGCCCCACAGCCGCCTCGCACGCCGCAATCAAGCGTGCCCTACGGACAGCGCACGCGCACGCGATCACACACCCCGCCTCCCCTCTCCCACACGTGCACCTGGTATCAGTGAAAACCTCATGATACCCATCTGATTCTCACCATGCAAGAGCAAAGTTCGTCAAGATCGAATAAGTCAACGCTCAACTCACTGGAAAGCGCAATTATCAAGTTGAAAAACAACCTCCAAATTCAAGACACCAAAAGCGACATGAACGGACTTTTAGTTGAGCCAGTATCTCCGCAGACGGACAAGTCACACGCAAGTAAGAGCTCAAGTTCCTCCTCCGCGAACATAAACATGTCGATAGCATCAGCGGCACTATTACAAGAGAACATGTTGCAGAGATCTTTACAAGGCGTTGTGATTTCATTGCAAAACGCAATGATGAATTCTTTACAACAGGCCGCGCTTTTACCTTCGAATTCCGCCGCCGCTGCCGCTTTGAACTTACAAGCTTTAGAGTCTTATTTGACATTACAACGTTTGACATCTGTTTCTTCAGTTAACAATGTTACAAGTCAGGCTAATACATCAGAAACAAATTCGTCATCTAAACAAGATATACTTAGAATAGCAACGGCAAGTGCTAAAATAAGTGAAATTGATGTGATCGACAGTTCGTCAAAAGATTACTCACCGAAAACACCCGAGGGATATCCGTTATCTGATGCCATCGCCGCTGAAGATGTAGATCTATCTGAAGAAGTTGAAGAAGACCTAGCATTATTAGATAATGAAGACGAGTTCACTTTGGAACAGCATTTGGAATCAACATCGAAAGGATACGGCTACAATTCCCCACCGTCTTTAGACAATGGCTATCCAAGTCTTCTAATGAACGCAGTATACCAGCAGCAACTGAACAGCAGTCCCTCGCAGCCTCCTCTATCACCACAACCATCGAATTCGTCAAAATCAACAAATAGTTCCACTTCTTCGAGTAGTAGCATATGTAATAAACAAAAAACCGCAGGAAGCGGACCTAGGACAAAGAAGCAATTTATCTGTAAATTTTGCAATCGGCAATTTACAAAATCGTATAATTTGCTTATTCATGAACGAACTCATACAGATGAGAGGCCGTATTCTTGCGACATCTGCGGGAAGGCTTTCCGACGGCAAGATCACCTAAGAGATCACAGGTAACAGCAAAATTTAATAAGCTCATTGAAAAGAAAAATTGATTTCAATTTAATCAGGAATATCGTTTCGTTTAAGAATCAATTCAAAATATTGGCATTTATTATGAATTAACAATTAATTTAGTTTTATAATATCTATTGATGAAAACGTTACTCAAATTTTTGTACCCTAGTTCCGCCTACCGCATACCATATTAATTTTGAAATCTATTAAACGATCATTTAGATTTGGAATATCCGTATCCCGGTATCTTAATCTTAATGGACTAATAAAATGTCAATGTTCAACTTCAATTATTTTTAGTTTATTTTTCATTAAAGTCTGTTTTATGATCTAATCCAACGCTTGTACGAGCATATCGAAAATGTTATCTCACTGTGAGTTGACATGTTGATAAATCAACAGAGTGATTAATATTGTTATTGTGTACTAAATATTTAAGAGGATTGTTAAATTTTTTAAATGATTCTAACGACGTCGATTAATTCCATTCCAAATATCGTGATAAATATTGCAGTCTGCAAAGTTTCACTTTGTCACTTTTCAACGAAATAATATAAGGTTAAGTGGGCGTTTTGAATAATGGCGGTAAAGACCATATACCTAAAACAAAAGGTTCAACTAGGGATCAAGAAGATCGTATCGGCAAACGGCTCGTCACGCTCGTAAATTATTTCACAAAATCGTCTTTAATCCTAAGAGATAAGGAGATTTAGTTTTTCGATTTTTTTCTCCGTCTGAACGCCATAGCATTCCAAATGAATCACGGCGCATACCTTTTTGATATCAAATATATATCTCGACAAAAAGAGAAGCGCCTACAATACTCCTAAATAAGATGTAGGTAACCGTTACAAGAATTCGAATTCCAAACGATCTCGAATCGAACACAATAAATATGATAATAGTATTACAACAGCTCTCAATCTATTTCTTTGCTTATCTACCCGAGACTCCCACCCAAAAAGAACGAAAGGTGTTGAATTTTTAACACCTGTCGCGGGGCGATTTCCTCCCAAATCACCGTATCTCTGTGGCAATAAAATAAATTTCGTGTAGACGCCGTAGGGTTAACCCGACTCCGTCCCGAGCTGTCGATGTTCAATCGATGTCCGTTGACACTATACATTATAATGGACCGGAGCGGGCCTTCGACGGGTTTCTCGACAAAGCACGTGGTGATCCTGACGTGAGGATTAATACGGTTGACAAAAAATAAAAAACCTCCGAAAATATCCTTCGGTTACAGAATCAAGTTTCGATGTTCGAGATTGTTTTTTTTTTTCTTTTTGTCGATCGAAATACAGATAATGGAATTAAATTAATTCGTTGCTTGTTTAGTGATGTGGTGCCGCTAATTTCATTTACGACCAAAGTATAATTTTAATTGCAACAATTAATCGTGCGGTCACTAATTTCATAGATGATCAAGTCGCATTGCGGGCTTAATTAATCAGAGAACGGTGTTGATTCGAGTTAGGCCTAATGTGCGCCCGCGTCGGTCTCAGCTCATGCTTGACTAACTACACATAGTCTTTAATTAATCACCACTATGATATACTGCTTAAATTTTCAAAGGCTATTTCATCATCACGTACTTATTGTCATTGCAGTAACGAGCCTCGATAACTACACTACATATTATATGACGTTATCTCAATTTAGCTGTAATTTACTTGTTGCAAGTATGTTTGTTTATTTGATGTCAGACATGATTTCTCGGATTCGAAACTCAATTGCCGGGTTCTTGGTTCGTATTATTATTGATTACATGTTGTTCGGTGTTAATTATACGTTGTATGTTTAAATTTAATTTCAAATAAGCTACACGATAGTCATCATCGAAATTGGAGAGTAAGCCACGGAGTTCAACGGTTTTTTTTTTCTTCGTAATTAGTGTGGCCATTCGAGAAAGTTTTTTTTTTCTGCTATTAACTTCAAAGCGATAATTAGCTTCATTTTTCTGTACATATTATAAAATAATAGTAAAATGGTGATCGCATTCCCTAGCGATGGCTTTCACTGTTTTATTGTAAACAACAGGTGTGAATAAAAATTGAAATATTCTATTTACAGATTCCCAATACGAAGCCGTCAATATCCTAAGGGCACTTATTTGTAGTTAAAATTGGTCAGAGCATAAAGAGGCTTTTATTCAACGTCTTTAAACATGAGATATTTATTGATCCTCCCACATTCATAAATTGCTGGTTTTATTGTTAAAGCATTTTCTGCATTTTTATGAATATACACATAATACGATAAAACTTTTTGGTTCTAGAATATGTTATAGGATATATTTTTTTTATTGCCCTTGTAGGCAGACAAGCATACGGCCCACCTGATGGTGAGTAGTTACCGTCGCCCATGGACTTCAGCAATGCCAGGGGCAGAGCCAAGCCGCTGCCTACCGCTAAACATTCTATTGAGAACTACATTCTATTCTTTTCTTGAAGTATATTGTTTGCAATGGAGTCCATTTGTTGTTTTACTGCAATTAAGACTTTGGCCTTATGCTTTAATAATATGGGCCATCGTCTTTACCTTGTGGTGTGTATGAGCTCGACTATCTTTTCAATTTTTACCCACTCCAGCCATTATAACAACTGTCAATATCTTCAATCCAGATTAGTCGTAAACTCTTCTAGCTTCTGTCACAAAAAAATTAATTATCTAACTTATTTTTTCAATCGCAGGTACATCCATTCTAAAGAAAAGCCTTTCAAATGTCTCGAATGCGGAAAAGGGTTTTGTCAGTCAAGAACATTGGCGGTCCACAAGATTCTGCACATGGAAGAATCTCCACACAAATGTCCCGTTTGCAGTAGAAGTTTCAACCAAAGGTCGAACCTGAAGACCCACCTTCTAACGCACACCGATATAAAGCCATACAACTGTTCGTCATGTGGGAAGGTCTTCAGAAGGAATTGCGACCTTAGACGCCATAGTTTAACGCACAATCTCGTTGGCATATCTTCTGTTAATACCTCTCCAAGCGGAAGTAACGGGAAGAGTCCATTGCTTAACCCGAATTTCCCAATTGACAGTTTAGATACAGAGGACGAAAATTAGCTGTTTGTTTTGAATTGAGAATACAAAAAGACTGATATTATCTCCTATTCAACGGTGCCTTTTAGATTTAAGAATTAATAATGTATGTAACCTTAAAATTAGTTTCTGGATAATGTATCAATTTAAAATTTTGGTACAAAAATTATTCCTACAGTTGCTCTAGTTTCTATCTTAAGTTTGTGAATTGAAATATTGTAGATAAAACTATTGGTGTAGTGAAATTTATATCTGGATATACATTTTTAATACTGAGACGTCAGCAGAAACGGCTACGTTCGTATTGTTTAGTATTAATATTTCTTGACTTGTAAATTTTCTGATCTCATTTTGTATATGTAAATATAAATTATTAAGGAAAACGCCTTTATAAAATCCGTCCTATTCTTTGAGAGCTATGTACAAAGTCTTCCTCTGTTTGTAAAAGCTATTGTATTAAGTAATAAACTGTAAGTAAACCTCAATCTGTATTATTGAAGATCTTATTTAGAGATTATTACGTAGATATTTAATAAAATGATGAGAGTGTAACGCATTGTTTAATTTGACAACCTGAAATTGTAAGGGTGGCCAACCGGTAGATCGCGATCGACCGGTCGATCGTGGCAAAACAAAAAATATGAATACTTAGATCAGACTGTGCAACGTAGTCACCAATTGCAGCACGCATCATCTTCATCTTGTATCATTTGTTAATGACCATTACCACACATTATATTATTTATCCTCTATTCCACACAATAGTTCTCTTTTATTATATAATTTCAGGATCATTTTAATATTTTTTAATAAAAGAAAATATTCTACTTATTTGTATACTGGAATACATTGTTTCATAAAATTTCAAGAAATGTTTTTTTTTCTATTGCTTAGATGGGTGGACGCGCTCACAGCCCACCTGGTGTTAAGTGGTTACTGGAGCCCATGGACATCTACAACGTAAATGCGCCACCCACCTTGAGATATAAGTTCTAAGATCTCAGTATAGTTACAACGGCTGCTCCACCCTTCAAATCGAAACGCATTACTGCTTCACGGCAGAAATAGGCGGGACTGTTATCAGTAGTTCGCAATCTTTCGTCAGTAGACGTCACTAGATCTTGGTACTAATCAAGTTGGCCACGCCTGATATGATGTAATGAACAAGAACGCAGATGGCTCTTATCCGACCGCGACGGGGCAACGCAATACCGCCGTCGCCCGAAATATGTCTTGTCGGATCCCCCGGATTCACTTTCGATGCTTTTAGACTTTTCAAGGAGTAGTCACCATCCTACTATCTACTCCTACTACCACTTCAGCGAACTAACTGCTCGTGCTAGGGCCAGTATTAGCAACACCTCCGGTTTGAGCCCCAGAGCTGACCTGCACGCTAGGTTAGGTAACTGATATAGCCTCTCAAGGCTATCAGTGTAGATAGGAAAAAAAATCATGTTACAACAAACAGAAAATTAAACTCATTACACTTCTTTTAAAGATTATTTTTCAATAAAAAATACAATCAGCTGGCTTTTATTTTTTCTCAGGATCACATTTACCTACTTATTATATTTGGCGCGTTAATTCGTGTGCAATTTTTTTTTTGACCCGTAAACATCTCTGGCCAAGCCCTTAAAGTGTGAGGTGAGTTCAGAGTCAGGCTCGCCCGATGTCATGTAGTTACCGAAGTCCAACAATAAAGCCGTAACGAAACTCAGCACCAATGCTTTTTGCATGGCACGTGTGATCACAGTGGTAGATACCTGACACCGTTATTTGACAAACAATACACGATTATCAATGTTACATAAATTGGAATATCATACTTATATTATATTTGTCCATTCTTTAAAATTACAAATCGTTATTAAATATGTAATAACATGATGTCAAAAGTCGACTCGTCGTCGAAGGACTTTGTCCTAATGCCTACAACCTACAATTAGTGATATGTCAGTAATGGTTACTAATGGTAGGACCTCTTGTGAGTTCGCACGGGTAGGTATCACCGCCCTACCTATTTCTGCCGTGAAGCAGTAATGCGTTCCGGTTTGAAGGGTGGGGCAGCCGTTGTAACTAGATTGAGACCTTAGAACTTATATCTCAAGGTGGGTGGCGCATTGACGTTGTAGATGTCTATGGGCTCCAGTAACAACTTAACACCAGGTGGGCTGTGAGCTCGTCCATCCATCTAAGCAATAAAAAATATATTTAAATACATATATCCTTCTATAATTATTTCTATTGGATAGAACGAGCTCATTAACCAAGATGGCATCAATTGGCTTCCGAATTACCTACATTAACAACGTGAATTGAGATATATGATTGAAGTCTCCAATGCATCCAATAAAGTCTACCCCTTGAAACTAAGAGCAAACCATTAGTAACTTTACAAATACAGCGACGGACCGATACTGCATAGCAATGACATGATAATGTACTTATTATAGCCGCCCTTAACCACATCCATGCCCCAGCTCATGCGGCAGACAATCTCTAAAGTGATAAATAAAAATAACAAAAACTATGATGGAGAACGAATTAAGTATGTTGTACAATAAATGAATGGAGAATAATTAAAACTAGTGGCCCGCCGGTAGTCGCAATTCGACTATTATTAATTGAAATTATAAGTTTATACACTATTATAATTCTATTGTCAAAGACTTAATCATCATATCATTTTTATTATTTTTAATGGATTTTATGACCTGGTAACTGAAACCTTTAAGTCATGTCTTATTTTATTTATATTCATATTATCATCATAATATATCATATACTTCTATAGTCACAGATTTCACCAAGACTACACTATAGACAAATGTTAATAAAAACAAACAATATTTAATCTATTCTCAATTTGACCACAGCCTATAAGCAATAACATAGTATACATGCGTGTGTGTGTCAAATACATGGTACGTAGTGTGTGTAAGGTTTTTTTTATTGAGGTAATGTATTTTTTATGCATAATTAATAAAAAATATTACCATTTTGCACTCCTCCTCTATATTCTCTATAAGTGTGGGAAGTTTCGTACTCCTCCGTCCGCGCAATTTTTGTAAAAAAGGAGTAAAAAAAATTTTTGTTCATGTATTAATATAAATATATATATATAAAGATAGAATATAGATAATCAAACATGTTTAAGTTTGTCTGTGGTACACGACCCACCAGTGTGTATTAAATTCTAGTTCTTAACAAAACTGAACTAAAAATACGCCCTATTAATAAACATGAAAGCACTCTCGGGTATCACAGACATGTAAAATGTCTATTAACAACAAAAGGCGACTACTGAGCTTGAAAAATCGATTCAAATCAACATAAAATCTAAGCAAAGCCACGATTCATACTAACAAAAACTTGCTATTGTCGGATAAACCCCTCACAAAGACTCTTTAAGAGTGTATCAAAATGACATAAAGCTTTGATTCTTTTCACATTCGTAATAGTGGGTTAGGTTCTTTGTTTTTTTTTTTTAAAGGATTTTAGAAAAGTTTGATGCGTTAAACTTTACAAATATCGTCCAATTAACAACTCGTATTTGTCGGTATTGAAATGAAATACGAATAAAATAAGAATGTCTAAGAATGAACGAAAGAAATTAAACATTCTGTTAATGGAAATGATTTGTTAATATCTTTATGTATATATTTCTTCTGTGCGTGTGTTTGTCACTGAACTCCTCCTAAATGGCTGGACCGATTTGAATGAATTTTTCTGTGTAACTTCAGGTGGATTCGAGGATGGTTTAGATTTACAAATCAGCCCGGCAGATGGCGCTGCCGACGGCATCTAGGTTAGTTATCTTCCCAAGAAATAATTTGCATAGCAAAACAACGTTTGCCGGGCCAGCTATTTTTTCTATAAATATTCGATATTTAGCTTTATTTGTGTATGTTGCGAACAAAATCTCATTTTTGTAAGAGTATCTTTAATTCTTTTTTCTTTCTAAATGTTGAGTTTTATTCAGTACGAAGGCTGGCAACAAGTTGTTAATTTTTTTTTTTTTTTAATTATCAATAACATCATTCTACCTATTATTTCTACATGATTATAATTTAATCAGGCGTTTTTACAAATTTACTTCTTCAAACCACGATATTTGGATTTATTATGTACACAAAATACTTTTATACTAAAAAAAACTGTACAAACCGAATTGATATAACTTTTTTCACACAGCAGGCCATTCTCAATTACCAAAACTTTCCCTTAAAAATCTCTCCGGTTCCGTATAAAAGCGATCGTATTGTCATAGATCAACAAAACAACAGATACGACAGTACTATTAAGCAGTTTGACAACATAATAATAGGTCTCGTCCCGTTTTCGCGTAAACTTTCATTATACTGGAATTATTCTCGTATAGCACGCCCGCTGCGATAAACAGTACCTTGTAAGTTCTTTTTTTTAAAGACATTGTGTCATTGAAACTAAAATTACGGTGTCACAAAGAATCACAATGGGGAAGGTGTTTGAAAAATATTTGCTTTTTGATGCTTCGAGTGTGTGATTGAAGTTTGGTCGCGACGACCACACAAGTACGGTTTTAGGGTTCCGTCATACTTTACTTTTGTATTGATTTTTTTTCCCTACCTATGCTGATAGCCTTGAGAGGCTATATTAGCTTTACCTAGCGTGTAGCTGAGCTCTCGGGGTTCAAACTGGAGTTGTTGGTAACACTGGCCCTAGCAAGAGCGGTGCTTTCCAGAAACTACCACCGGATCGGTAACGCGACCCACTGAGAAGATCCGGCGAGCAACTCAGTGGGCTGTATCTGTGGGTGTATTGATAGTTTTTGTTTCGAGATCTTTAATTACTTAAATATATATTTTAATCAAATATATATGACCTTTATTCACGTGAAAAGGAAGCCGCCTGACTACGTCGGAAATTTGGCGCTACTGCTCGACCTCCTCGGTCGGAGACCTAGAGATAGATCCAAGACAAGGTGGAGGGACGTAGTGCTGAAGGAGAAGAGAAAATGCAATGTTGCTCACGAGGATGTCGAAGACAGAGCGAAGTGGAGGAGTAAAGACAGGAAAGCTGACCCACCACCATGTGGGATAAATAGCTGGGAAGAGAGAGAGAGAGAGAGAGAGAGAGAGAGAGAGAGAGAGATGACCTTTATTTGTCTTTAAGTGGTTAGCTGGATTGTAACATACACTTTGAACTATATTTCTTTTACTCTTCAAATTTAATGGAATGTCGATTTCGTTTTGATAAAATTTAAATACGGAACCTTCATTGAAAAGTTTTTCGTGGCAATTTTTTTTTTCTGTGTTGCCTTTACACCGTGAAATTGTATAAGTTGTTTTGACAATGAGCGCGAACGTGCGTCTTTCTCGATTCGTATTTTAAGCACGGTCCCTCGCAGGCTGGCTTCGGAAATTTGGTACAGATTCATTTCGCTAAATTTTTTTTTGTTACGCTAATAATGTGAATGCTTACGAAGCTTGCGGACAAAAGTTTATTCGGAGACCAAAGCGCT